ACTACTGCTGCAATACTCTGCTAGGGGTTAATCCCCAAACACTAACAATCTGTATCAATCCATAATTCAGTTTCTGAAGCGTCCACAGCCAACATTTAAAAAGAAGGGAGGAATGGAGGGATAGAAAGAAATGAAGAGTTTTTGTGCAATGAAGCATCATCCAATAATACCAACTTTTTCGAGTTCCCCATTAGAGTCAAATATTGTGTTTAAAATTATTTCCAGCTCAAAGGAGAGGATGGCTAACAAACAGTAGACCCCTCTGTGTATTGGTCAGAAAACAGAGGGGAAGTAGCTCTTTTGCTTCTCTGACACTGTTCCTACTAGAAAGTATCCTTCACTTGAGGAATAAAAGATAACTGTGTTGTCAGAAGAACCTGATTATTTGATGTTATTTCTACATTTATTTATTTCTGTGGTGCTATTGCTGCTCTAGCTCAGTTAGAGGAATATGGGCCAATAAGCTCTTTGCATAAACTGGAGTGGGAGCAACTTCAGCATCTTGTGTCCTCCCCCCGCCCCCCAGTCTTCCTTCCCATGCTTCTCCCAATCCACAGTTCAGTGTTTCTCTAACCAACCTGTATATCTGGCTGATTTCTGCCTTATTGTCCTTCACATAGTTTGCCTCAGATCTTCAGAATGATTTTACAAAAATAGTGCTAGCACGTTTGGTCCATGAGGAGAAAATTCTACCAGCATTGATTGCTGAAAAAAATAATAATCAGAGTGAGAACAGATAAACTAGAAAGAAACAAGTGCATGGTATACAGATACACATAGTCAAAAAAAGAGCATTACTATGTGTCTTTTATTAATAAACTTGTTCCTTATTATAATAAAGAGTAGGAATATGAAGGAGAGACTGGATGACTTATGGGTTTAATAAACATTACAAGAAACTAAGTTAACTTTAAAAGAAGATACGTAGATTTGCAATATGAAATGACACCACAGTAAAAAGACAGAAAAAGGCTCTAGAAATTAAATAAACAAAACAATAAGAATAAAAAAAATGATCATACCACTGAAAGTCATCCTCTAAGGACTTTTGTTGAAAAAAAGACCAACTGCCTTAACAAATGTTGAAAAACAAATATTGATAACCCAGGGCTGTTGATTTTGTTGAATTCCAACAAAAATATGAAAACATTAAATATTGAAATATCTGAATTGAAATTTGACATTCTACAACTGACAGTCTTTCAATTATTTTGTGAGATTATATTCAACAGAGTGTTTTCCTTGTGAAAAACCATTATGACTTTCTGATTTTAATTGACCTTTCCTGCAGGTCTCATGGATTGTGAGAATGGAACAGAAATCAAAGATTTTGTTCTTCTGGATTTTTCTACCAAGCATAGAAACTGGTTCCTCTACTTTCTCCTCTTATTGTTCATGTACAGTGCTGGACTTCTGGGCAATGTTATAATGTTTCTTCTAATCACCTTGGATGTGCGACTCCAGACCCCCATGTATTTCCTGTTCCGTAGCCTTTCAGTCATTGATGTTGGCTTCATCTCAGTCACAATGCCACGAATGTTGGTTTGCCTGATAACTAGTTCCAGGACCATCCCCTTCTATTCCTGTATGGCCCAGTTCTTCTTCCTCTATGTATTTGGCGTCACTGATCTCCTTCTCGTGAGTGTCATGGCCCTGGATCGCTATGTAGCTATTTGTAACCCTCTCCACTATGTCTCAATCATGAACCAAAAGGTTTGTGGGCATTTAGTGGCTGGGTGTTGTATCGTTTCTACCTTACATGCCATGCTGCATGCCGGCCTGCTCCTGCGTCTCAGTTATCGAGGGGAAAATCACCTGGCCCATTACTTTTGTGATCATCAGCCCTTGCTGCAGCTGTCCTGCTCAGATACCAGTGTCAATGAGGTGGTCATCTTCTTTGAAGGTGGAATCATCACTTTTGGGCCTTTAGTTTTCATCATTCTCACCTACATTCATATTGTAGCAACTATAATGAAGTTCACTTCTTCAGGGAGGCGCAAAGCCTTTTCTACCTGTGGGTCCCATCTCACTCTGGTGGTTCTTTTTTATGGGGCCATCATTGCTGTCTATTTCTCACCCACCTCAAAGTATTCTTCAGAGCCAAGTTTTGCTCTACTGTATACAGTCGTCACCCCAATGTGCAATCCCTATATCTACAGCCTCAGGAATAAAGAAGTGAAAGGCGCAATGAGAAATCTCTTGAGAAAGGGATCCTTGTTTCCTCCAAAATGATAGTGAAATCTTGAGCTGCCTTCCAGCTGGCTTGAAGTGAGAATAAGGGGAAGGGCTTTCCGTGCTGATGGAACATATTCTTCGCATACAAATGGTCTCAGATTTCATACCTGGGCTCTCTTGGCAACCACAATGTAGTTGAGGAATCATGAAGTATAAGCTTAATTTTGGGCCCTTTCAAAAGGGGTAATAAGGTAGTTTACCCTAGGCTTCACACATAAATGGATGCTCACCTGAAATATAAATATTTGAAACAATGAGTTAGATCCAACATTTTGAATAGAATAGAATAGAATAGAATTCTTTATTGGACAAGTGTGGTTGGACACACAAAGAATTTGTCTTGGTGCAAATGCTCTCAGTATACATAAAAGAAAAGATACAGGAAGAGATGACAACTGATTGTTTAATGTTTGGGAGGAGCTAGCCCTTGTTGAGTTTCACAAAGGGCCTCAATTAATTATTTTAAGAGTAGGTTGTTTCAAGAACATTATGAATTTACTTCTTTGGCAGAAGATGACCTGACCTTGTATTTCCTAAAAATATGTCCAAAAATAATCTCACTGTCCATTCAGATTCTCCCATGTTTGGGGATGATTAAAAAGAAAACCTCTCCTCCATCACTTGAAGTTCTTGATATTATTTACTCCAAAAAATGTTGTTGCCAGATAAGAAGCTGATGGAGAGAACCAGGCACACAAACTGGGAAAAAGTATGCTTAGACAGAAACTGGTTTCATTTGGGTCAAAATGGTCGTATCTCCAAGACTGTTCCCTTTGGCCTTGAATGCAGCTTCTGATGGAAAGCAGATTCCCTTCTCTTGTGTTGTTTATTGACTTGATTCAGCGTATATCAGCTGCATTCCAGCTGCAACTGTTAGATGGTTCTTGGCTGTCTGCCCAGAGCTATTAACTGAAGGGAGAGAGAGAGGGGAAAAAAACCCTCTCTTTATTTTTAGCAGGTTCTCTGGCCTGCATAAGCAATTAACTAATGGTTCGGGCGAACTGGTAAGAACTGGCTGAATGCCACCTGTGATGTGGATGAGCCATTATGTAACATAAAAGCACTTCAGAAAGGGGTCTCTGGTATGCTTTATGATGTCACTGATCCAATGCTGATCCATAGCCTCATTTGATAATTTGATATCTCAACTGAGCTGAATTAACTAAACTTAAGTGAAAACACAACAAGTGGCACGATGGCCTGGAGGTGAAGATGCTTGCCTCCCACTCGGAAGGTAGAGACTTCAGTCCTAGGCCGCGGCAGATGTTTCTCTATCAGGGGCATAAAGAGAAAATATCTGCTGTGATTTCTGCATAGGCCTCAGGAAGGGAACCCGGCTAGTAAATGCTCAGCTCCATTCAGTCACCTTGATTTTACCCCGAAACAAAGGACTAAATGGTCATTAAAAAAAAAAAAACATTAAGTGACAATACTAAACACCAAACCTGTGAATATTATCAAGTTCAAATTATATATGAAAATCTAAATAAATCAAGCTAACATAAAGAGAAAAGGATTTAAAAACTACAAAATTTAGTTCTCTACAAAAGCGATATAATTACGTTTTATTAAAAATTGGATAGCTCAATATTTAAATGTCAAATTGAAACTTGAATACACCATTTTCTTTGTGTCCATTAAGAATCAGTCTGAAGGCTTGAGAAGTGATACATTTCAACATGCTAACATTTAGAGTCTGGTTCATGTGCATCTTTCCAAAAATACGTAACTATCCTTTCAGCAACAATCCAAGCACTACAGGTAGTCCTCAACATATGACCACATATTGATGCTAGAATTTCCATTGCTAAACAAGATGCTAAGTGAGTCGTGCCTGATTTTATGACCGTTTTTGCCATGGTTGTTAAATTACTGCAGTCGTTAAGTGACTCACATGGTCATTAAGTGAATTTGGCTTCCCCCATTGACTTTGCTTATTGTAAGCTAGCTGGGAAGATAACCAATGGCAAACACATGACCCCAGGGCATTCATTGCAACCTTCAGAAATACATACTGTCGAGGATTTCCTGTATATCTACGAAATGAACAGGTTCCTAATTTTAGAGATACACTATAACAACATGTTAACATCTTGGAACCTTGGCTTCCTCTCAGGAATCTGAGTCACCATAGTAACAATATGCAACAAATAGCAATAGCACTTAGACTTATATACCGCTTCACAATGCTTTACAGCAGTGATCCCCAACCTTTCTTATGCCGCGGCCTGGTATCCCCAACCTTTTTTATGGCGCGGCCCGGTACCGGCATTAGCTGGGCGCCGCCATCTTTTTTTGATGAAAAAGTGCTTCCGGTGAGCTTTCTATCCGGAAAAGCTCACCGGAAGCACTTTTTCATAAAAAAAAGATGGCGGCGCCCAGCAAACCAGCGGCCCAGTAGGACTTGTTCCACGGACCGGTACCGGTCCGCGGACCGGTGGTTGGGGACCCCTGCTTTACAGCCCTCTCTAAGCAGTTTACAGAGTCAGCCTATTGCCCCCAACAATCTGGGTCCTCATTTTACCCACCTCGGAAAGAGGGAAGGTGGAGTCAACCTTGAGCCTGGTGAGATTTGAACTGCCAAACTGCAGGCAGCCGACAGTCAGCAGAAGTAGCCCGCAATACTGCATTCTAACCACTGAGCCACCACATCTCATAATAAGAAACAATTGATTAATGTAACTAAAGCATGTGTACTTGTATCCTTTGAAATTAACTGCATTTTCAAAATATCAACTGTAGAGTCCAATAAAGCCCCCGAAGATTCACTGGATCATGAAAATCATATTTTTAAGACCTGGGCCAGAAGAACTAAGAATAGGAGTTGTCTTAGATATTATGTTCTTGAGGGCCTCCACACTTTGGCAGTCACCATCCCAGCTTCTTTGTCCACATCCCCCTGTCCAGCAAGACAGGGGTCCCCAACCACCGGTCCGCGGACCAGTACCGGTCCGCGGAACAGGTCCTAC